AACATGGATGAGAGAGAACATCGATCAGCTGCCTCCTGCACACCCCCTCCTGGGGATGTGCCTGCAACCAAGGTACATGCCCTTGACCGGAATCGAACCTGGGACCCTTCAGTCTGCAGGCCGACGCTCTATCCACTGAGCCAAACCAGTTAGGGCTGCTGGCCATCTTTAACAATGAAACACAGAGAGGACTTTGATCAAATGGGTCTTGCTAAGTGCCCCTCTGTCTATCACACCTAGTTCTTGATAAACCATAAAGTTTGTATTAAATCATAGTTATCTGTGATGATAGCGCCCTTCCTGGAGCAGGTCCTCTGTTTAAACTCTTTTATGCAGTTAAGGGAAGGTCAAAGGTTATTCTAGAGTCTTTGATTCTTAAAAAGAATTAATACCCCAAAGAGGCATATTTTGGGCTGGCAAACTCTGCTTCCCTTCAATATGCAGGCATGTGCCATGGGGATGTACTCTTAGAAATGCATTGTTAGATGATGTTGTAGGAACATCACAGAATATACTTAGACAAACCCAGATAGTATAGCCTACGGTGCTATGTTGTTGTTTTTATATGTGACTGACAGCAGAGAGGTTTGTTTATACCAGCAGCATCACAAACATGTGAGTAATATGTTGTGCTACGTTGACGGTAGACAACAGGAATTTTTCAGCTCCATTATAATCTTAGGGGACCACCATCAGATATGCAGCCCATCATAGATCAAAATGTGCAGCACATGACCATACTGAATTGCAAACATCTGTATAGGTGGTACCTGAATTACAATGGTTCGACTTAAGATGTTTTAACTTTACAATGGTGCAAAGCCATACATATTCACTAGAAACCAGCTAAGCTATGCAGCTCAGTAGGTTAGGTATATTAAATGCCTTTCAACTTACAATATTCTTAACTTATATGAGTTTATTGAGATGTAACCTTATCGTAAGTCCAAGAGCATCTATATACCAGTTTTTAGACTTGACTTTGCTCAACTGCAAGTGCTCCAATAAAGCAAGTAGTTATGAGGATCAAATGGTGTAAAAGCACACTGTAAGATGTTATTACTAATATAGTGATTCTTGTGCTAAATTTATCCTTTTTGTCAAAATGCTTTCTTCAGCCCTGGCCAGAAAGAGCATCGTCCCAATACACCAAGGTTGTGGGTTTGATCCGTTCAGGGCACATACAAGAAGCAACCAATGAATGCATAAATAAGTGGAACAACAAATCAATGTTTCTGTCTGTCTGTCTGTCTCTCTCTCAAAATAAATTTAAAAAAATTTAATCCTCAAATACTCTGTAAGAACCCTTACTATATTAGATTAATAAGTTTTGAAATGCCTGTGTCCCTGAATTCATCGAGATTGGCAGTCTGTATATTTAGGTCCCCAGTGTCTGCCCCAATTCCTCCCATAATTATGCTCAATAACTGTTGTAACTAATATGCATCATCACCACCTCTGAATCTTCTGGAAGTTCTGTTGTTCTTGATCTCTGATTATGTTAATACTAGAAGCCCAATGCATGAAAATTCGTGCAAGAGTGCGCTTTCCTTCCCCTGGCTGCTGGCACCGGCTTCCCTCTGGCACTGGGACCCGGGCTACCTTCCCTCCGGCTGCCAGCAGACACCCGAACCCGGGCTTCCCTCTGGCTGCCGGCTTCATCCAGAATGACGTCTGGTCTAATTAGCATATTACCCTTTTATTATTATAGATTATCAGAATGTGCTGCTGAGCTGTTTGTTTTTTATGCCATATCAAGAAGTACCACCCTGGCTGGGGTGGCTCAGTCCCATTTACTTAAAGGTCACCAGTTTGATTCCTGTGCCCAGGTTGCAGGTTTTGGTGTAGTATGTGTGGGAGGCAACTAATTAATGATTCTCTCTCACATCGATGTTTCTCTTCCTCTCTCTTCCTTTCTAAAATCAATAAAAACTTTTTTTTTAAAGTACCATTTCCAAGTATGTTTAGGAACAATAACTTAAAATAGGCAGTGTTTGTGAAAATGTAAATTACCTCCTTAACACTGAAATCTTTTTTCCTTTTCACCATGTGGGCTGATGTTTTTGGCATCTTGATTATTTTTGTTTTAAATCAGTGTAAGAATTTAAAAGAATGTAAATAATACTAATCTTTACTATTCTCTGACCAATCTTAGTTAAATGGAAGGAAATTGTTTTAAAACTACTTTTCAGATCTGGAAAGATAGATAAGAATATGGAAACTGTAGCTTTCTTTGTAGGAAGGGGTAGATTATAGCTGCTTTTATTTTCTGGTTTTTTCTTATTCGTAATTTCTATAATGACTAATATTGCTTTTGTAATAAGGAAGAGAAATGTCTATGATAATTTTTCTAAAGTTTGCAATCTACCTATAAACAGACAACTTTAAAGATTATATTGCCCTAGTGCCGTGGTCGGCAAACTGCGGCTCACGAGCCACATGCGGCTCTTTGGCCCCTTGAGTGTGGCTCTTCCACAAAATACCACATGTGGGGCGCGCACGTACAGGGTGATTGAAACTTCGTAGCCCATGCGCAGAAGTCGGTATTTTGCGGAAGAACCACACTCAAGGGGCCAAAGAGCCGCATGTGGCTCGCGAGCCGCAGTTTGCCAACCACTGCCCTAGGGGTTTGGCTCAGCGGATAGAGCTTTAGCCCACGGACTGAAGGGTCCAGGTTCGATTCCAGTCAAGGGCATGTACCTCTGTTGCAGGCTGGATCCCGGCCCTTGTCAGGGTGCATGTTGGAGGCAACTAGTCAATGTGTCTCTCTCACATTGATGTTTCTCTCTCTGTCTCTCTCCCTCCCTTCCACTGTTTCTAAAAAATTAATGGAAAAATATCCTCAGATGAGGATTAACAACAACAACAACAAAAGATTATGTTTATCATGAATTATGGGAGTTTCTTTATTCTTTTTTGCTCCTTAAATTTTTATTTTTCAATTACAGTTTACATTCAGTATTGTTTTATATTAGTTTCAGGTGTACAGCATTGTGGTTAGACAATCATATACTTTACAAAGTGTTCCTCCCCATATTTCCAGTACCCACCTGGCAGCATACATAGTTATTACAACAGTAGTGGCCCGGTGCACAAAATTTGTGCGCGGGGGGGGGGGGGGGAGTTGTCCCTCAGCCTGGCCTGCACCCTCTCCAATCTGGACCCCTCGGGGGATGTCCAACTCCTTCTCGCAATCCGGACCGCTGGCTCCTAACCGCTCGCCTGCTTGCCTGATCGCCTAATCACCCCTAAAAACTCTGGCTGGTGGGCTGGTCGGCCCCAAATGTCCCCCCTTTGCAGCCTCATAAGCCCCAAAAAGGCCTCCCCTGGCGGGCTGAT